GCGTACAGCTTCTGGGTCATGTGGCCAGCATGACTAAGCCGCTTCTGGCGAACCAGAGCAGCGCACAGAAACGCCGTTTACCTTCCTGCCGGAGTGGTACCTATTTATCTGCTTGCACTTTGACGTGCTTTCAAACTGCTAGGTTGGCAGGAGCAGGGACCGAGCAACAGGAGCTCACCCCGTCGTGGGGATTCGAACCGCGACCTTCTGATCGGCAAGCCCTAGGCTCTGTGGTTTAACCCACAGTTCCACCCGCGTCCCTTACACACGTTTAGGCACCTGGCGAAAACCTTCCTTTTTAACCAGGCCTTTGGTTGATGTGTTTGACATCCTATACTGTTTTAAAATGTGGTTCTTTTCGGGGAGGGGGGTGTTTTTGGGTTGTTGTTTTTATTCTGATTATATATGTTGTGATTTTTTCCCTGTGACATCCGGGTATAAGGCAGTATATAAACTCAATAAAGAATAATAATAACTGTGGGGCTGTGAAAAATTCACTCTGTGTGTTTTGCTCCCTTTTGGTTAATTGATCCCATTACAGAAGAAGAGGAGGGTGGGCTCTTCGTCTCCCTGCCCATCCCTTTCCCCACAGAAGCAGCCTTCCGCTTTCCTTTCACTTGGCTGAATCAGGCCCCACAGGTTTAATCAGTTGTGCATTCAAGGGCCAATTCTGACTATCTGTACTATCTGCACCCAGTTTATTGTACGGTCCTCTAAGGATGCCTTTCCCATCCACTGTCCTCTTTTCCAAAGAGCGTTGTTGGTAGCGATGGCCTTGGCTATCCATGCCAATGAGCCTTTGATAGTATGTCCACCACTTAGGAGTCCCAGCGAAAGCAGAGCAGAAGGGGTGCTGCTGCTGCTATGGAGCTTGTGGCAGAGCTTAGGCTCTTAACTCTTCCTTTAGCATCACAGGATTGTGGAGCTCGGAGGGACCACAAGGACAATCCATCCGCCTGCAATGCAGGAATCTTTCAACCAAAGTGGGGCTTCAACCCATGACCCTGAAGTTAAGAGTCAGGCTCTCCTGGCTGAGCCATGATTGGTGGTCAGCATTGAATCTCGGCCTCTCTGACAGTGAGGAGCATTGCACCCCTTTGCCGCATTTGGGGGTGTTTTTGGAAGAAGCTGTAGGCCCCCACTATATACTCTCCCATATTACATGTTTAAGGTTACATGTTATCTTATGCAGTGGTGTAGCGTGGGGGGTGCAGGGGGGGCCGGCCGCACCGGGCGCAACATCTGGGGGGGGGGCGCGCTTGCACTCGCAGCTCTCTGCCCCTACCTGGCTCACTCACTCTCTCTCACTGCAGTGCTGGCTGTGTGAATCCGATCCGAGCTGCTGGGTCGCCGCCCACTGTGGAGGGGGTGGGTGCCAGGCGTGTGGTGCGGAGAGAGAGCGAGGGACTATCTGGGGGAGGGACAGTGCAGCGGCCGCGCAGCGCTGAGCGCGGGAGAGGACCACACCAGACCAGACCAGGCAGCAGCAAGAAGAAGCTGGCAGCGGCGGCAGGTTAGGGGTTAGGGGGCGCAAATTACTTGCCTTGCCCCGGGTGCTGACAACCCACGCTACACCGCTGATCTTATGATCCCCAGTTATAAATCGGAACTTCCCAATTTTAAACACACTATAGGCGGAAGAAGGTCTTGGGGCTTAGTGCCATATGAAAAGATTTTAACCCTAAGATATTGGAAGTAATATCTTGTGTATATATAATAACTACCCTCTAATAACTGTTCATTTAATAATCCATCATCCCTTTTTTCTTTTTCTTTCTTTATTAGTATTCTTCTGGAGACTGGAGGGGTTCTGCCTCAGAACATCCAGGATGATTCTGTAACAGACCAGAACCGAGATGGAACTGTCTGTACATCATGTTGCCCTGATAAATTCTATTCTCATGTCCGTGATGGTGAGAACTTTGGAACACAGATTGGCTTCATATCAATTAGAGACTGAGGGTTTATCTTCATATTTATGCAATACTCTGGTAGAAACTGTTGGGGCAAATGGATTATATTTACTGATACTGAGCTCTTCCTGTGGTCAGCTATAGTTCCAAGCTGTCTATATAATATAGTTACTTAGAAAAGGAGTACTATTTATTTCTATAGGGCTTAATTCCATCTAAGTGTGCTTAACCTTACACTACTAGTACAAAACACTGCAAATATCAGGGATACGTAAGTGTTTAAAGTGTTGTATTTTTGCTTTAATGAACTTGTTTCTATGTTGCGCACTACTTGGAGATTAAAAAAAAGTAAAAAGTTTATAAATGCATTTAAATACATTTAAATAAATAAATATGTGGCCTAAATGATACAGAAAACTCTTTTGGCTTTTAGTGTTTAGGTAAAGTTTGTGAGTTGTTTTTTTACAGCTGTGTTCAGTATTCCTTGTCTGTCTGTGTTAGCACTGTGTTGTGCTTGTGTGTGTTGTGAATACACTGCACACAGTCCAGTACTGTATTATCATAGGCTGTCAGGTCCACAGTTATGTTTTTTCTGACATCATTATTATTTATCGTTTCCAGCTGCTTAAGCAGCCACCAGCCAGCAAGCAATACAACAACCTACCGTATTTTTCACTCCATAAGACGCACCCTTTTCCTCCTAAAAAGTAAATATGTGAGATATGTGAGTGCGTCTTATGGAGCGAATGGTGCTTCACAGGAGGTGCTGCGCAGAGACAGTGGCCAGCACTGTGGCCACACAGTGGCCAGCTTGATGCCTGTGGGAAGCCCACAAGCAGTACATGAGCATCATAGCACCTCTAAAAACTAGGTGTGTCTTACGGTTGGGTGCATCTTATAGAGCGAAAAATACGGTAGTTGTGTGGTACACAATTTTATTCTTAAATTATTGCAAAAACAACAAAAAAAACCTACTATTGTTGCCACCGAAACCTTGTGGGCATATTAGTCAGCCTTCTGACTTCAGTATGATGTAAAAATTGGGGTTTGGCTTTTGCTCCCCAACTCCCCATGGGACTCTGATTCCCTTAAGTCCATGATCAGTCAGAGAATAATGGATGGAGGAAGGATCCAGTGGAAAGCAAGGCAGATCTTTATTTTTCTGCTGCAACAGAGTTCCCTCCCCTCCTTCCAAGGAGTGAGAGACCCTGAACCAAAGTGTGCAGGAACCTTGAAAGACTTTTGACATTGCCCAGCCCCTTAGCCAAAGACCACCCCAAAATCATCATCCATACATCACAGGAGGCAGTCTACAGCAGAAACCTCTGTATATAAGAAACCTCCAAAGAAGGAGAGTCCACCACCTTCTGGGGGCGTATGAATTGATATCCCATCTTTTTCTCCAAGGAGCTCAAGATGACATACCGTATTTTTCGCACCATAGGGCGCACCCAGTTTTTTTGGGGGGAAATAAAGAGGAAAAAATTATTTCCCCCCCCAGGCGCGGGGCTGGGGCGGGGGAAGCTCGAGCTTCCCCCGACCCCAGCCCCCAAACAGGCAGCTCTCTGCAAGCCGTGGGAGCCCAGCGCTGGCTCCCACTGCTTGCGGAGAGGTCCGCGAAGCCTGGACGCGCTGATTTCAGCGCGCGCAGGCTTCGGCATGCCGGCAACTCTCCGCAAGCAGCGGGAGCCCAGGAGCGGGGGAGCTTAGGAAGGCTGCATACTTCCCATAGCAGCCCCTTTGTACCTCGTATGGGTCAGAGAGATGTTATTGTCGGCCATCTTCCAACGCACCACCTGGTGGCCCCCCTCCCTCCTCCTCCTCCTTCTTCTGCCACCTCACACCAAGACAGAGTTCTCTGGCATTTCCAGTTAGGCTTTCCAAGGCCTTGAATTGTTTCTTAAAGGCCTTTGCTTGGCCAGGTCCTTTTGCATAGGCTAGCCCAGGAATTCCTCTGTAGCTTGTATTTCTCCCTTCACAGCCCAAATAATCCCAAATCCTACCATCTATTAATTTCTAGTTTTTGGTGGGATCCCCCCATAATCTATAACAATACTGTGTGCAATTAAGGTGGTGCTATTAGAATTCCCAAGGGAATGTCAAGCAGGGAGGGAGGGGGGGAAGAGAGAGAGAGAGGAATTCTGGTGGAGAGAGAAGATTGGAGGAGGCTTGGAAAGGGAGAGTGAATGTTGGGGGGGGGAGGCAGTTGAGAGTCGGTTGAGAGCGGTGGGTTCTAGAAGGGGGCACTTGGTGAAGAACCTGAAGCTGGGCTGGGCAGCTCTTCAGATTAGGATCACAAGTCCAGCCGCCATCGCCCTCGTTTGAAGGTGGCCCAAAAGGAACAGAGATGAAGAGGGTCTGTGAGGCTGGGGCATGCGGCAGTCCCATGCCCAGTGAAGAGGGGCTCTGCCAGCTGCCCAGAAACAAAATTCCCTCAATTTAGGTGAGCCGCCTCCAAGCGCCTGGGAAGCAGCTTACAGACCTGGGCTATGCCTGATTCCCGTCTTCCCAAGCAACTTGGAAAGGGAGAGTGAATGTTGGGGCTTTGGCAATCTGCCCAGAAACAGAATTTCCTCGATTTTGGTGGGCAACGGAGCCAGGGCTTGGCTAGCCTTGCTAATTTCCAGATGCCTCACACAAACCTCCCCAAGGACCTGGTTGTGTCCACCACCTACTGTAACACCTCCAGAGAAACCAGTCTTACAGACCTGGGCTATAATAGAAAGAAATTGTGGGCTACGGCCAATTTCATGGACATGGACTTCATAGGAATTCCTCATGGGAAGATGCCTCGCATGTCCATGCCTCCCCTCCCCCCCGGTTGGTCCAATACTTCCCCCGTCTTGCTCCCCGAAAGTTGGCACCCAACTGGCAGGAGTAGGGGCTCCTTGGGGCAGCGAATAGTGTCATGGGTCAGGAATCAGCTCCACCTGCTGAACAGCAGCCTGAAGGGGGAGATGGTGGAGAGACTTCACCTGCAGCTTCAAGGACACAAAGGAGCTTTTGAGAATTGGCTTCAGCCTTCTTAAGCAGAGCTCCCAGCAGCAGTCAGAGAAGGAAAGAAAACTGCTCATTATTTTTTCATTTTAACAATATTTATTAATAAATATTATTTGATCCTCGGCATATCGGAAGCAACAATTTCCTCCAATTTCTTTATTGAAAGAATGCCAGTGATGCCATTCTCCTCGTCAGGGACTGGCACATTCAGACATCAGGCGTGGCATCCCTGGAGACATGCAGGGCACCAAGCAGCATGGATTCCTCCAGCGACTTGGAAGGACTTTACAATCCAGAAAGGCCGGGCTGGAACGCCATGGGTGACGAAGTTTCGCTCTTGTCCTTCAGCTTGGGAAGTGGCAACGGACAACCATCTCTTGAAGTGTGGCCCTGTGGAGGAAGGAGGACTTGGGATCCTCCTGGCAGACGTGGGGAATGGATGCCCAATGCCCCTGCCCTGACATTGCTCCCCAAGAAAGCTTGGCCCACCCACTTCTGGACGAGAGCATCTCCTTTCTGCTCTCATGCAGGAAGGTTCTTCTCCCATTCTCCATTGACGCTGGAAGAGGATTAGACGACTTAATGGAGGAGAGGGCGAGGCTATAGAGCCTGATGAGCCTGTAGAGGCGAAGTCAGGGTCATGGTCCTTGCAAAGTCCGGAAGGGGGTTCTGCAGGCCTTGGTGCCAACGCATGTCTTGGCCTATAGTAGGCCATCCCTGCCCCAGGTAATGAAAGGAACAGGTCCCTCTCACTGTGGGTTGGGGAGCTGCTGGTACGTCACTAGAGGGTGTTCCAGAGGTACCTCTTTCCTACAATGGTCTTCTTCTGGGGCGAGGCTTGGGCAGCAGCCACAGCGGTGCAGGGGGGAGATCCTGCAAGAAAGAAGGGATATTTAAAGCAGGGGAGAACTCACGCTAAGGGCTGCTTCCCCCTGTCCCATTATCTCCTTCCCCCTCCATCCCCCTGTCCCATTACCTCCGAGGCAGGTATCCTCCACCTGGGCTTCAGTCCCTCCCGGGATCCGGCGGCTCCGAGGCTGAGTTGTTCCCTTGCTGCAAAGCAAAGGAGACATCAGCCGGCGCTCCCAGCCATGCTAACCCCTGGGAAGGGGGCATTTCCTCCTACCTGATCTTACGAGTTCCCCAAACCTGGCCTCCGCCTCCGTACTTGCATCTTGGCTCCGCCCCGGCCGGCCTTGCTCAGAAGCAGCAGGCAAGGTTTCCTCCCTCTCTAAAATTACTCAAGATGTTCTTCGAATTGGAGGAAACCTTGTCTGCTGCTTCTGCGGCAGGCAGGGCCAGGGAGGAGCCATGCCCGCACAGAGACGGGGCAGTGGGGAACCAGCGCGAGGGTCCTCAGCCGGGAACCGCCGGGATGGTATCTTGCTCTTCGTCCCGGGAGCCGGATCTGAAGCCTCATCCCTGGAGAAATTAGGAGAAATATGGGCTAAGAAGGCAAAGAAAGAACCTGAAATGCAATATATTTCTGCCAACTGTATGCCTAAACTGAAGCCCAAACATGGAGAACTATCTATTTCCCAAAATATTTAGGTATAGATTCATGCAGTTCTGAAGCCATAGTCATGGAGTCGGTTCCGGGGGGTGGGGGGCTGTTCCCCAAGGCAATAGACGGGGGGAAGAGAAGTGGACCACAAAGAAACACTTCCTGTAAAACGACAGGACTATCTAAACCAGGCCTCCTGCTGGCTGTCCCATTGCTGGCATGAGGAAATGGCAATCCCCAGCAATGGGAGAGCCACTTCTTCCCCTGGTCCAGTTCCACACACCATGTCCGCTTCTGTCTGAAGGAAGGAAGGACGTATGGGGTGGGGAGAATTCTGGGATGCATCTCCAAGCAGAGCCAGATTGCCCAATGGGCAGAGCAGGCACCGGCCCTCGGCCCCTGCAACAACGCATCACCATAGATATTCTTGGTTTTGCGTAATAAAATTGGATTATTAATATTGCTGGTTGGTAAAATCAAAGACGTGTCACACCATACCTGCACATTCGGAGTTTCGCTCTTGCACCGCTGGGCTGCTGCTGGTGGTGGTGGGCCGGATCCTTCATCTTTCCTCCCAAACCATGGCCCTGGGAGAGACGAAGGACATTGTATTTTCCTGGCATAAGCATCCACTCTAGGGCAGCAGGGTCTCCTGGGCCCTCCCCAATTATTTGGGGCTGGGGTGAGGCGGGACTGCTCCCCACCCCCAGCCCTATATGGCACTTGTGGGGAATGGATTCGCCATGGAATTAACATACCACGACTTGCAGTGCTTCCTGGGGCCATAGACGCCGCATCACCCTTCCTTTCTGAGAAGCTGTGAGACAGAAAGGAAAATAAAAACAGAGGAAGTTACCAACCAGTTATTCACAACAGAAAATATCATCTGGGGACCTGCAAGTTATTGACAGCTGTGGACAAGGCACACCAGGGAGCCAGGCCACACGCCTCAGTGACGGGTGACGCTAATAATAATAATATTTTTTATTTAATGCTTTTATTTTGCTTTAAACCAATACAGATAAATATAAACAACCAAAATTACAAAAGAAAAATCCTTCATAATAATAATTTAAAAAGCTAAAAAAACTACAAAAAATACATGGCATAGAACATAAGCCATTATGGGAAAGAAAAAAGAAAGGAGGAGGAGGAGGAAGGAAAAAAGAAAAAAGAAAAAAGAAAAAAAAGGGGGGAGGAAAAAAAAGAGGAAGATGAGCCCAAACACAAGAAGGCTCGTCTATTGTACGCTTCCGTCAAGGTCACAACAGATCATTATTCTTTATCAATTCTCTCTGCATTCCATAGAATCCCTCATCTTGGTATCAGGGAACATTTCCCTATGTGGTATCATTCTAAACATAAACTTGATGAACCCTTATGCCCTAGATAATTATTTAAACATCCCCATTCTTCTTTCACCATCTTTTTAGGTTTATCTCTTATTGCATCTGTCAGTTTGCGAGCTCCAAGTACTCGCACAATTTGACTACCCATTCCTCTTTAGTGGGGTGTATTTTTATCTTTCCAGTGTTTTGCCACTATAACCCTTTGCTGCTGACGTTGCACACATAAATAACCTGGTTTTATTTTTGGGAATATTATCTGAAACCATTCCTACTAAAAATTCTTCTGGTTTCTTGCTAAATGTAATTTCTATCAATCACTTTATCTCTTCATAAATCATATTCCAAAATCTTTATATCTCTAGACAGGACCACCACATAGGGTAGTAATAATAATGTTATTTCTATGGGCCTCGGAGCTCCTCTTACCTTTAGAATTCATCCCTCTCATCCTTGTTGGTGTCTATCACCATCATCTGACAGGCATCCCTCTTGCAGGGCACTATAAGGCTTGCTTGCAAAGCAGCACTTTGTGACATCAGCTGGCAAACCGGGGCCAGGCTGCTGGGTTGTCAGGCAGATGAATTAAGAAAAATAAAATCAGGGGGGTCAAAATGTGCTGGGATGAGTCCACCGTGGGTCAGGCCAGAGGGGGCTGTTGGGGTGTGTGGTTGTGCCTCCCCTGGTTCTGCATCTTGCTTCCCCGCCCCCTCCTTTAGCTGCTTGATGGTAGAATTGGAAGGGATGCCAAGAGTCATCTAGTCCAACCCCAGCAATGCCAGCATCCTGCCCACAGCTGGGCTCCAAACTCCGACCATCTCCTTACCAGCCAGATGCACTGACCCCTTGCAATTCTGCATAGGGTGGAGAAAGGGGAGAGAGAGAGATGTTTTGCTCTCTGTCCCTCAGGACATGGATATGAGAGCCACACCATTCCTGTGGAGGAAGCAGGTTACAGTATGGGCTCTCATGTGAGTGGGAGAGTCAGCAAGGTTAACGGCAGTCTTGAGGGGACAGTCAGATCAAAAATTAATAAAAGAATGGGACTGTATTGAAGAGTACAGGAAAAAGCATCGTTCTGGAATAAATATATCGATATGTAATGAATGACTTTTGCAGGGTTAGTGAAATGAAGAAACGGCTATAAAAGGCATAAAACCAGAAGTAACATATATGTAAATAAAATAACACAACAAATAAGATAAATGGAAAATTTCAAGTCTAAAAAGGGTGGAAGGATGTCAAAATGTATGTATGTATTGTTATGTTTTGTTGTTGATATTGTTTTTCTTTATTTTTTATTTTTCTTTGATTTTTCTTATTTATGTTTTATTTTTGTATTTTATATTGTAATTATGCATTGAAAATAAAATCAGAAAGAAAGAAAGAAAGAAAGAAAGAAAGAAAGAAAGAAAGAAAGAAAGAAAGAAAGAAACCATAGGCTGTGTACCCACCATACCTTTGGGGCTCATCCCCACTTCCCCTTGGGTCATGTGTCCAGCAAGCTCAGGTGTGTTAACGGATTTGCTCTTTGCTAGACCGGCCAGCCTGGTTTGCAAAATTCAACCCAGGGATCCCTTGTCTGGCACAGTTCTGCAAGCCTATACTTTCATTGATATCCCAATTAATCAAAATCCTACCATTTATCAATTTCTAGGGTTTAGAGAAAATGTATAACAGTATTTTTCCTGTACAGTTTTTAATGCCTATTTTGTGAACTGATGCATGATTATAAAGTAAGTAAAGCTTATTTTTAAAGTTCCCAGGTTGATACCAGATTCTTTCTTAAGTGGGGCAAAAGGGGGGAGGGGGAGGCAGCTAGATTCATAGCCAGACTTGCTCAAAACAAGGTATTGCAGCTTGATTCCTCTCCTTTCAAGTTTGCTGCCAAGGATGGGATTTTAAGGACCAGGTGGCAACCCTACTTCAGGTAAACAGGACCCACACTTTGAATTGTGCTCGCAGATGTACTGGGAGCCACCGTAGATCCTTTAGGACCGGTGTTCTATGGTCCCGGTGGCATTCCAGCACTTTTTTTTTAATTATTCCCCCCCTTAAAAAGGAAGAAAAAGAACCTTGCAGTTTTATCAAACTGTGTTCCAAGCTGTAATGTCAAGGGTGTGAGTGTACTTAGGGAGAAGCCTCGTAACAATCACACACACACACACCCCCCTCTGATTTGACAATCTCTATTGTGAAGGTGACGGTTCCCACGTTTCGGGGGAACTAAAGCCATAGGGGAGAGGCATGCCTTATGCCGCCACCTCACAGGGAACCTAACTACTATGTTCCTCCTTTATAAGTGGCTCCATGGTAGAGCGTCTCCTTTGCAGACAGAAGGGCCCAGATTCAATCCTTATTTGTAGTGAGCTAGGTGCAGCCATGGCAGATGCCTTAACCTCCACAAGCTGGCATTCTGCGCCACCTTTTTAGTTGTGCTGTGGGTTAAACCACAGACTTCCTGATCAGGTCGGCTGTTCGAATCCCCGCGATGGGCAGTGGCGTAGCGTGGGTTGTCAGCACTCGGGACAAGGCAAGTAATTAGCGCCCCCTAACCCATGGATTTTAGCACTGATTTTAGCACTGCGAGTGCGCGCCCCCCCAGATGTTGCGCCCGGTGCGGCCGGCCCCCCCCTGCACCCCCCACGCTACGCCACTGGCGACGGGGTGAGCTCTCGTTGCTTGATCCCTGCTCCTGCCAACCTAGCCGTTCGAAAGCACGTCAAAGTGCAAGTAGATAAATAGGTACCGCTCTGGTGGGAAGGTAAACGGCATTTCCATGCGCTGCTCTGGTTCGCCAGAAGCGGCTCAGTCATGCTGGCCACATGACCTGGAAGCTGTACACCGGCTCCCTCAGCCAATAAAGCGAGATGAGCGCCGCAACCCCAGAGTCGGCCACAACTGGATCTAATGGTCAGGGGTCCCTTTACCTTTAGGTGCAGCCATGGCAGATGCCTTAACCTCCACCAGCTGGCATTCTGCGCCACCTTTTTAGCTGTTTTCTTGCTGCATCATTCATCCGTCTTGACATCCAAGTAACACCAACAGCTAGAAGCCAAGTCAGGAGAGCAGGGAGGGGAAGAGAGATCAAGGATTCAGAAGGAAGAGGGACCTCAAGCAGTTGTGGAAGTTGTGCTGGGACCCGTTGGGTTGCCTCCTGAGTCTGGATAATGCATTATTGTTGAAGAGAATACATGGATAATATAAATATGCCAAAAGAACATGCATGACCTGACGTTTTATTATCAAGCCGCGTTCTTGCTGGACACCGACCTGCTTTCAACAAATCACTGAGGTGAGTAGCATAGCATCTTGGATCAGGGAGTCAAAATCTCAGAAGCATCAATTCGGAAAGCTGAATTCAAGGAGGCAATAGCTGAATCCAGCTCTGGCCACGTGGGGGCAGCAAAATACAGTTTTTGAAAGCATCTGCATTACATCCTATGGTGTATTGTCACTAACTAAATGAATACTTGTCATTTGGAAGGCTATGGAAGAACAAGAAGCAGGGTTGAATTTGTGTTGGGGATCTATCAATACCAGCCTTGGATTATATTCAATACAAATTTTACCTGGACATGTGCCGAGCTCCATTACAGAACAATCATCCTGGATAGCTCAGTCAGTAGAGCACGAGACCCTTAATCTCCGGGTTGTGGGTTCAAGCCCCATGCTGGGCGAAAAGATTCCTGCATTGCAGGGGGTTGGACTAGATGTCCTCAAGGTCGCTTCCAACTCCACAATTCTGTGATTTATTCTATGGCCATATACTCTGAGACTAAAGGTTTAGCTGTACCCCCAGACACTTTTCAAGAATTCTCTCTTCCTATTTGGATTTAATTTGGGAAGTTTCCTTGCTTTGGTGAGAGTCTTAGAGGCTGCTTGCCGGCGAGCTGATCTCTTCCTCTAGTGCCACAAGCTCATTCCTCAAATCGCGACAGCCCAAACTCTTCAGAGCTTGCATTGCTCAGGCAAGGAGCTCGTTTTTAGTGGGGGTTTTTTTGCATATATATATATATATATATATATATATATATATATATATTCATTGTTTTTTAAAGATGGCAGGTGAAGTCATCAAGCACAAGGAAAGAAAGATTAAACAGCAAATACCTGGGTTATATATGGCAAAGAACACGAACATTCAATCTAAAATGTGCTTTTTCTATAAACTTTTTAATATCTACAGTTCCACAGTTGCAGACATGAACAGTAATTGCCCTGGATAGAGATGTATTACCTGATTTTTTAAAAAATACCCAGTTACAAGACATTTGTATTGACAGTAAACACAGAATAAAAGTAATATATTGAAGCATTTAATGTGCCTTTTTTAATCAGGGTAGATGAGATATTGTCTGTATCAAAACAAGCGCTGTATGACTAGCATCTAATATAGTTTCCTTGAACCTACAGAGACACAGGTAAGAAATATTTTCATGAACAGAAGGATGGAGTATGCGCGCATTATAAGAAACGAAGTTTGTGTTCAATCAAAAGATGAGGATCTCCCATTCCTTCCCTCTGTTCCGGGTTGTTCAGAATATCCTCAAAACCAATGCAGTCACAGTTGCCTTTCCAAATATCCAGGGACAAGTTCTCACTGGGAAGGAAAGGAAGACGCTGGAGCAGCTTCACTGCTTGGATTCCATCTGCAGCTTCAGCGGTGCATGCAGCCCCGGAATATTTCTCAGAGTAGAAAAAATTCCTCTTGTCTTGATTTAGCAACAACAACAACAACAACAAATTATCCGGTGCGTCCAAAAGGATGAACAGGGAAAAGTTTGCTCTTCACATTTGTAAAGCCTCTATTTGTAAAGCGTTCAAATGCTTCAGCAGCTGACAAATCAGAAACCGGAATACAGTCCTTCAGCTGAGATCCAAACGCTCTGGAATTCGTCAAGCTGTGGAATCCTCAAGCTGTGGTTTTTTTATAAAAAAAGAAGGGGGAAAGGACAGTGGTCAAGGACAATGGGAGTTGTAGTCAAGCAACCCCTGTAGAAAAGCCCCCAGTCCCCAAACCCGCCTTATTAGTGTATGCCTTTTTTCAGAAATGCACCCAGAGCATAAACACGTACGCTCAACTTGTAGGGTGTTCTCCCCGCCCCATGCAAAGGTTCCCTTCCTCTTACCTCGTCTTTTTGGAGGAGGCTTGGGCAGCAGCCCACAGCGGTGCACGATCGAGATCCTGCAAGAAAGAAGGGATCTTTGAAGCACTGCTTCTTGGGCTTGAATCCTGTTTGGCTGCTTTCGCAGTGGCATCTGGGTGGGCCCCTGGGAGAAGAGGAGGCTGGACCAGACGGGCCCTTGGCCTGATCCTGCAGGCCCTCCTTGTGTGGTGTCCTAGGGCCCCCCCCTCCCCCCGCATCCCATTACCTCAGGGGCGAGAGGCCGTCGTCTGGGCTCCAGTCCCTCCCGGAGGAAATGCGGCGGTTCCACGGCTGAACTTCTCCCTTGCTGCAAAGGAAACAGAGACATCATCAGGCGCCTGTCTTCCAGCCACGCTAGCCCCAGTCTGGGGCAGGAGGGTGGGGGACCTGGGAAGGGGGCATTTCCACTTACCTGACACAGAAAGCAACAGCCAAAGTCTCCTCCCTCACCTGAGAAGCTGTTTTAAATGGGAGGAAACTTTGGCTGCTGCTTCTGTGCCAAACCGGGCCGGGATGGAGCCATTCCCGTACGGAGATGGGGCAGTGGGGACACGCCACGAGTTTTATTTTTTATTTTTAGTTTATTTATACTTTTCAAATTTATGCATTTCATTAGTTTTACAATCAATTTCACATTTCAATCAATTTCACATTTCAAAATTTGACTTCCTTCCCCTCTTTCTGCAGTTCCTTAAATTTATTTTTAATATCTTCTGCATATCCAATTTCATTTGGCTTTCTCATTTAATTATATGCACTCTTATAAGACTGCAGGTTATTACAATAATCCTGCTCATGTTTTGTCTGTTTACAATTTCTCTGTAAATATTCAATAAACCGTTTCCATTCTTTTATAAAAAGTTTGTTTTCTTGATTTCTTATTCCTTCGGTAGTCTCCCTATTTCTTAAGTTTTTGTATCCATTCTTCCTTTGCTGGGACTTCTGCTTCTTTCCACTGTGGGGCAAGTAACATTCTTGCCCCTGTAGTAGCATCTCACTGCTTCTTCTCTAGCAGGGAACGAGGGGTGCCATTTTGTGGTCCGCCTCGGGTGCCAAAATGTCCTTGGGCCGGCTCCCGCTCATAACTTTTCCTCACAGGGAATGTTGCTCCAGCCCTTGATAGTCTTGGTTTCCTTTTATTGAGCCTATTCCACTCCTTTTCCCAGGAATCAAGAGAGGAAAGGCAGGGAAATGGAGGCAGGAATAAACGGAGGAGGAATGTGCTTACTTAAATTACTCTGGCTTTTTTACCTTCGTTATGGGAACTATATTATACAGTGGAACCTTGGCTCCCAAACGCCTTGGGAGCCAAACGTTCCTGTTAAGTTGTGGGTGAACATATAAGATGACACCGTGATTCTTCAAACAGCTCTTGTTTATTCACAGGCCAGAACAGAACTGAACTGAAGGGTTCAGCCAGCCTGCTTATATAGAGCTCCACAACA